CACGTGTGCACGTGTGAGTGTGCGTGGGGCACGTACGTACGTACGCTCGGACACACGTGTGCGTGGGCACGCTCGCACGTGCGTGTCACACGTTACGTGTGTGAATCGGGCTGAACCGGATGGGAACCGACAGTTCCAGCTTAGAATCGGGCTGAACCGGATGGGAACCGGCAGTTCCACTCAAAAACCGGGCTGAACCAGATGGGAATTGACGGTTAAACTCTAGAACCAGGCTGAACTGGATGGGAACCGGTGATTCCACTCTAGAACCCGGGCAGTTCTCGGTTTTTGGGTGGAATCGGCACGGGCAAGCGTGTTTTCGAGTCCAGTTCGACTCGCCGTGTTTTAAAACACTGCTAATACCTAAGTCCAAGTCATTCTCACCAAGGGTAGGGGCCCAAATCCCCATTGTCATACCACATTACTCACAAAAAGAACCTAAGTCCAAGTCATTCTCACCAAAGGGTAGGGGCCCACTTTACTCACAAAAAGAAATGACATTAAACTTTTATTTAACCCATCATTAGTTATAGTAGAGGAGGTGGGTTGTTTTAGCTAGGAAGCCAAAATAAATTTTTGTCGGTACTTTTTATTAATCATGAAAAGGATGAAAATTTGTATAACGGTACCAAATAGTTGGAAAAAACTGAGATGATAGGAAGTATTTAAAAATGGGAAGGTTTGTATAAGGTATCAACCTTATATTATTGAAGTAAGATCACCTCAAAGTTATCCTGAAAATGTTATTTTGATGCCGCCAAAGCTTTGTACTGATATGAAAATCTATTATTGCCCCAAATTATGAAATTTAGAATTCCAAAAGTTGTGACAATCAAATAGATCTATAAATACTTGAAACTCTTGAAAATGGATGGTCCGGATAATGTGTTAGAAGATTAACTATTTTTAGGAATAGAAATCCCATTTTATAATGTTTATGAATCTCGAGGTCAAGATGATCGGTTTGAGTGTTTTTCAGTATAGGAACAACCTTCTCTAGTGTGGTTTTTAGGTGCACCTTACTCGTACAGTATAAAATTGATATTTTATGTAGACTGTTTTCATTTAAAAAAGGCCGATTTTAAAACGACCTGGTTTCTATGTAGCCAAGCTCGCATATGTAGAAATGAAGGCCTCTTAATAAATATATTTTTGAGATAGATTCTAAGATTTAATTTTGGAAAAAATTTATATAAGGTTGCAACCTTAAAATGTAGAACTACATATGCACCTAAAAAATCCATCGGAAAAAGGTTGTTTAAATTTTGAAAAACAACGAGATGTATAATTATAAAAGAAAAAATGATTTTGAGTTTCAGAAATAATGCATCTTACAACACATTATCTAAACCGTCAATTTTCAAAATTTTCATATGTTTATATATCTACTTGATTTCAACCATTTTTGGGGTTTAAAATTTTATAATTAGAAATGGAAATAGATTTTGAGATAATCCTAAGAATATTTTACATCAAAATTATATGTTATGATCAAATTTGAAGGTGCGTCTTAATTGGATTGATTAAGGTTGCAACCTTATGGAAACCATACCTTTTAATTTTTACGTACATGTAATATCTAATATGAAGATCATAAATATGAATAAATAAATAAATTTTAAAAATTAAAAATAATAATTCTAGTAAAAAAACATTTGGATGGTTATTTTCTATTGTTTTTAAAAGGAAAGCCGGCTTGCATCCATCTTTACACTTTCTGAACCGCAAATGTAGAGATACGGTTCAGCCCGCTTGAAATAATTTCTTTTTAAACCGTACTTTTGCTGCGCATAATTTCGAAATTATTTTACCAAAAAAAACATTAAAACAAAAGTTTCCCTCTCTAAACTCTCTCTCCTCATCACCACCCGCATCTTTTATGGTATTATTTTACTCTTTATTTCCCCAAAACATCTAAATCATCTCCCTTCGCATCATTGCATATTCGGGGCAAAGTTTATCTCTCTACTCTCTCTCCTCTCTGCTCTCTCTGTTGGCTCCAATGGCTCCAGGTCTCTTTCCACTCCACTTCACCATTCTCTCTCAGCCCCACTCTCTTTCCATTTGCTCTCTCTAAGATATTCTTTCTCCGGATTTTCTCTTGTCTTCTCAGAAAGTATTCTTTTTCCTCTCACTATCCCACGTTTTATCTCTCTTTCTGAATCATCATCCTTATCTGAATTTACATCGCTCTCGGATCTGACCCTTATTTCCCCATATTTTTCGTCCTCCAAAGTTTATCTTTCTATTTAGCATCGCGATGTTTTGACAGATCGAAACCCTACATAGTCTGTGGTTCTTTGCAGTTTTTTATTCATTGTGATATTTTTAAGAACTATTTGCTGTTAAGTTTTACGTTTTTGGGATTTCTACTTATCTATTAATCTCTCGTGATCAATGCAAGTTTCAATCTGCTACTTTTTGCTTGATATTCTCTTTTGCGCTGCAACAAAGTTCGTTTCTTTGTGAGGTAAACATTCGTGTGAATTCGCAAATCGCAGCCATTTTTCGGGCTGAGTTGTCTGATTGGTGCCAGCTTCCATTGACAAAAATTTGATAGGGATTTTAATTTTTCTCCAAGTAGGTCAGTTTTTCTCTTTATGGGATTTTTTGTGTATTTTGTTTTTTGATGAATCTTGAATAATTGTGGTAATCATGAATTTATGGTGAATTTTATTGTTAATTGTTTATAGTCTTTTTATTTCTCAAGAATGATCATATGTTCCTTAATAAATCGGCAAGTGATTGCGTTGTAGCACATTCATCAATTAATTTCCCCATATCTCGGAAACCATCACAAAGATATTGAATTATGACTAGGGCTTGTTTGTTGCTCGTCAAGATCGGTTTTTGCTTGTGAAATCAAAACTCTTATTTAGTTTTGTGGGTTTCCTTGTCAAATCTCAACGTTGATTATCAATTGACTAAAATTAGAGTTTTCAATGTTTATACGATGAACTGGAAGCCTGGATTATTATACATTAAGATGATAATGGATTATTGTCTTCGGTCAGTGTTCTTATGTCTGCATGTGTAGAGCATTGCTAACCATGGATTCCACATAACACGCATATCACATGGTATTTTTGAGACATATGATTTCTGTTTATTGCTTTTCCCTTTATAAGCTTTTGTTTTGAAACTAGGCAGGGATTCATGATAGAGCATTGATTCTGATTTGGAACTCGAATTTTTTCATGTTTCCTTTTTGGGTAGCCGCTTGATTCAATCACAGTAATAGATTCAAAATAGCTTTACATGCAATACTATGCTGAAACTTCACAAGTCTATACCCAGTCATAGCTAAATCAATGTTTAATTCCCTGTTTGGAATGTAGCTGTTGGGTTTCTTGTGTTCTATAGTTTGTGTCAATTGTCTAATAAAAAAATTATGTTTATAGTTAATTTGACCAGGCAGAATCAGAAGTTTGAAGCTTCTGACTCTATCTGAACTACCAATATTTTTCTATAATCTACCAAGGTTTATTTATTGGTGTTTCAGTATTATCTGACTACCAATAATTTTTTATAATCTACCAAGGTTTATTTATTGGTGTTTCAGTATTATTTTTTCCACAATGGACGGTATGTGGAAGCTATGTTTCCAAAGACAAGCATGTTTATGCATGCCCGCCCTCATAGAGGTGTTCGCTCACGCCCGCCCTCATAGAGGTGTTCACTCACGCCCGCATGTGCATTTGCACCTTTGCAATTCCGTTTTTGTGCATAATGACCCCACATTTGCTGAGATGCTTATCTATGAATTGCCTACATTTTGTCCATCCCTCCCACAACTGAACGGCTTCTTCCCCAAGCCATCTCTAGATAGCACACCCACTGCTGCTTTGGTTGCCCGACAAATATGATGAAAAGTGATTCCCCAATGGTTGTGAAAGTCCCTTGGCCCGCAATCCTGCATTAGTTAGTTTGTTGATGGCTCGACTAATTGCACTATAAGGATTGTCCTCTAGTATTAGCATGCCTAAAATAAACTAGCAGAACTTTGAGCCCTATCAGCTTTTGTTGTATCCAAATCACATGAATGACTCTGTCCACCCGTTAGATAAGGGGGTTCCTTATAGAGCTGCCATTAAAACTGATATTCAAGAGCACCGCAAGGATAGGCGTCCAACGAGTATCAGGCTTAGCTTCTCACCTCCCATTATAAGTTACTCCATAATGCCCCAGGTAACGGCCAACGAACAAAGACCCCAATAGAGGCATCGTCTGCTATGAGGAATGGGCGGATATTCTAGGAGCATAGCACAAATGCAACAGTGGATGACATCACCTGACTTTCTCGGAAGGGGTTTAGGACTGAAGATGATGGTCCACAAATTCCTTATTGTCCCTGCACATGTAGCAAATCACATATAGAGAAAATGCAATCCTCAGTGTTGGAGATGATTGGTGAGGAATGGACTAAATTCTAAGGGAGGTGGTTAAATTCTAGGGGAGGTGACTACTTCGGCCTTGAATGGTACCCAATAAAAGAGAGTTATGATGGATGGCATGCTGAGCAGTTGAATCAAGTTGCAATCTATGGGCCGCTCAACTATATACCATGATATGGTGAGATCGATCAAGCCTAACTTCAATGAGCACTCTTAGGTTTAAATGGGTCTGGCATGGATTGTTGGTTTAGAAAGGGACTCCTTGGAGGAAACTTTGTGTCTTTCCATGGCCATTGGGGTTATGTGACTCGATATGATACAGTCAAAAGCTCATCTTATGGGCTTAAGAGATGCTCTGATTAACTCTTTACTTCCCGATGTAGCGCAAGGAGACTGCCTTAAATGTGTTCAGATGGATGAGGAAGGACTTAGTGGTCCTAGACACGTCGCCCTTATCTTTTTCAAGGTGTTTTTGCCTGTGGTGATTACCTGGTTTCCTTTTGGCATGTCCCAATCTTCCATGTAGGACGAACAAGGAGGCAGATGTATTGGCGAAGGAAGTAGTGGTCTGTATTGACCTTTCAGTTAAGTCTTTCTGATTAGGCTTTAGTTCTCTTGCTTCTTGAGATGCGTTCTCAATTCCTTTGCTTAATCTTTATCTTTATCTTATTGCCATTTGTAAGTTACTAAATTGACCTTTTCTATAATGATACTGTTACCTTCTCTGAAACACAGTTGTCTGCCTGATTTGTTTTGTTGTATGGGTTTCTTGATATATTTAATGGTATGCATTCTTGCAAGAACCAGCTGAGACACTGATGTATTATGGGCTTTTCTATTTTTGGCAGAGAAATAATCCTGTGTTTGTCTCAATTTGGTTGCTCCCATGCATCTTGGCCTGGGCCATCAAAAACGGTGAGCATTTAAATGGTTAATCCTTCTGAAAGTATATCACTTGGCTATGTAGTATTAACGATGACTGGAATGGCCTGAGTACAATTTGTTCTACAATTACAGTTATGGAGTGTGTTGATGAGTGGGCAAGATCATGTTGCAGTGCCTAGAGGGAATCAAGCACCTCTGTGGTTTCGTACTTCAGTGTTTTGATATTGATTTTCATAAGCAGTCAAGAGGCCTTGAAGACCCTGAAGTATTAGCAAGGGAAACTGTTTGTATGTTTCTCCTTCACAATTTTGCCTATTTTCCCTTTCTTGAAAACCTAGACTTTGTTTTTTGCAAAATTTGAACTTAAAAGTTACAAACTTACAAACCATTGGATATTAACTATAATGCTACTATAATGCTAAGGAATTGGCCAATTGTTGTGCATCATTTCTTTTCAGCTTCTGTGGAACTTCACATAGCATCACTGGGTAACATTCAGCATTTTTTCCCTTTGCAGTTAGTGTTAGTGAAATCGAAGCACTGTACGAATTGTTTAAAAAGATCAGCAGTGCAGTAATCGACGACGGGTTAATTAACAAGGTACCATTCTCTCCAATGGTGTAAAGATATTGGAAGTTTTAAAATAAATATTGGATCTGATCAGTTATTTTTTTGTTTCTTTTCATTTCTTTGCAAAATGGCAGTCATTAAAAATTTTTGACCTACGGCTGTTATCCAATATTCAATCCTGATAACAGCCCCCTGGATATTTTTTTGTTAAGTTTGAGACAACTACCTTGAATTGTTTTAGGTTGAAATTTTACGCTCTTCGCTTTCATTTCAGTTGGCAGTGGCTTACTTTCATTTGAGTTGGTAGAGGCTTGCCTATGACTTTCATGTTCATGAGAAGTAGAGAAACTCCATCCCTAACTAAAGGTCTACTATAGAATGTAGGGCCTGCTTGCTTTTAAATTGTTTCTCTGTTCTGGACTAATGGAACACCATCTCAATTGCTCTAGGTTGCTCTGGCCTTCTTTAGTTTTCCATTTCACTCATGCATACATCTTGTTATTTATGACTTGAAACTTACCATGCCATTATTACCATGTTTCAGGAGGAGTTCCAATTGGCATTGTTCAAGACAAATAAGAAGGAGAGCTTATTTGCAGATCGGGTTTGTATAACCAGATTTTAAGCATTGAGATGTTGGTTTTTATCATTGCCTGTCCTTGGCAAACCTTTAATAGACTTGTCTCTCTGTCTCACTGGTGGGCTTAAATTCTGGGGAGTGCTCGACTGTCCTTCCGTTGGGAAGCAAATTGTTCTAATTAGTGGTCTTGAATCACAGATTTATTAGTTGAAGCCTCTAGCAGCTTCATCAAGTCAATTACTTAGGTATTTGCCTTGATTGCAAACTTGTCAGAAAATATAAACTTTTGTAGTGGCCGCAAAATAACTAGTGTTTAGTTTGTTGATATGTCAATGGAGAGAATTTTCTGGGATGAAGTTTATTTGCAGTGGAAATTATTGAAAGGATGAAAAATGCCAAGCATATAGGTTAAATTTGGGATGGATTTTTCATGAACTTGCTTAGCTCTAGCATCACATTCTATATGATATCAGGAAGTAGTCCTTCAGCCTTTGTAATGGCCTCCCTGGGTGGAATTTGATCAGCCTTATTTAGGTAAAATTGGTTGAGCTGAATACCTTGCAAGAAAAGCACAAGTGTTGAGATAGATGATCTGTCCTTTATGAACTTTCCCAAGCACTCAATTTACTATCCAGTTATTTAAAACAAAACCATCGACAGTATGGAACTTGATGGTATTATGAACAGGTAGATGGTCAGACACCAATTCATAAAAAGACTTGGGATTGACAAATAAGAGAGAAAGAAATTGACTTTGATAGTTATGGATGGTAATTAAGGCTTTGTACTTGTTCCACATATAAATGGGGTGGCGTTGACATATAAAGTCTCAGAAGGTTAGAACATAGCTAATAACAACGAAGACCTCACAGTCATGTGATTGATGCTCAGAGTCCATAATCTGATGGGATGAAAATGATGATCCCAAAGTAGGCATTTGAATCAGTGAGCCTTGAGGGCTTGAGTAACCTGCTGAATTTGTTGAGAGCATAACCCTAAAATCTATATGATGGGTTTCCCTATCAAGGCTCGAAGTAGATCTCTTGTCAACTCATAATCATTTCCAGAATCTTGGAGGGAAAATCACTATTGTTATTATGTGTATTCATTTGGACCAGGATTCGTATAGCCGATCCCAATTAGTTGGAAAAAGGTCTCAATGTTGATGATGATAATGATGATTCATGTACCCTTTCCCTTAAGACATTCTTCAAGGCGGAGGCCTAACTTTGGTGTTTATTTGGAAGGGGTTCACTTCACAGCATTCTTGCTTAACCAAGATTAACTATTGACTTAATGCTTTATCGATCAAGTTTGGTGCCCCTTTTATTATTATTATTATTATTATTATTATTATTATTATTATTTTATTTTTATTTTTTTCCTTACAAAATTTTTCTGTGCTTCTGTTTGGACTGACACATCTAAGGATAGCACTGATACCATGGTTGAGCCGCTCTCTCTCGAGTCAAAATCTTCAACCCTATCACTCCATATCAATGTCACTCCCTAACACTATGACAAAACATCTATCCACATTATTATGTTGTGTCTAGACTTGCCCTGAGGCCTTTCCTCCCCTTTGTTTGAAATCTGTTTAAGGGAACACACTCCACCTATGAGAGCAATAAAACATTAGTTTCAGGAACCTTATACTTCAGTTTTCTTCACATTCCAAAGCGGTTCCTATGTAATATGTGGTAGAAAGTCACTTTTTCAAGCATTCCTGTTCCCTCGCCACACATTTCTTTTAGGTGTTTCCCGCAAATCATAATGGAGCATAAATTTTTTGATGGAGCTCCCTCTAAGCAAAACCGTGGAAACAAAAGGCTTTAGATAGGATCTTTCTTTCCTACTCAAGAGCCTATGTGGTGCAGGGAGAAAGGTGCGAAATTGAATCCACCCTTTTTCTGAACTTTAAACAAGGAAAATCAGCAATAATAGGGAAAGAACATGGATGTAAATCAAGCCAAGAGAAGAAGAATTTCTTCTTTCATAAAATGAAATTTATTCCAATAACATATCTCTCAAAATATGACATTCAACCTTTTACAAGCTTGAAACCCTAATGTAATTTAACTTGAGAACCAAGTAAAGATTTAAGACTCTAAAATACCCTTAAAACAATACTATAATTCTAAAAATACTCCTGTGAACAGTAACACGAACAGTAACTCATGAACGGTAAGTGTGAATAGTACCATGAATAGTGTTCGTGTGTAATAAATAAAAATAAAAACCCTAGAATCCCAAAAAAACTAAAAAACCCTAGAAATAATTCCAGAAACTAAAACTACAATATACATCCTTGAAATTGAATAAAAATAAGAAAATAAGAATAATTTTTCTCCCATCACTATGCTACATGGATTCTTCTGTTTGGGTTATTTACTTGTGTTGGGCGCATATTGACACCCATATGCACATGGATTCTTCTATTTTCTTCTTTGTGTGTATTAACCCTTGGTTTCATTATTGTAGGAGACTTGATCTCCTTTTTTGTTTGAGTAGACACATATGAACTTTGAAAATCTCTAATTCAACCCACTTGGATATAATTGATTTTTCTTGTTAATAGCCATGAAATATATTATTAGCAAAACATTGTGAGGTTTGGTTCTCTTCATAATGTAATCATGGTGCTGCTACTGAATCCTTGGCATGAGGAATCTAAAACCCCTTGCCCGTTTTTGATATTGATATATGTATGAGTCCATACACATGGCTCAGAGCCCACCCTTAATTTTCCTTTTCCTCATGGTGTTTGATCTAAACATGCGAAAAGAAGAAAATCAAGTAGAGGGCTTTGAGCATTCTCAAGGCAGTGGTAAAGACAAACCGTAATTCTAGTGATAGCATTGACCCAGAGATATGATGCATAAGCACCAATTGCATGAGAATGGATGGTGGTAAACCCTTGTGTATGGCATATTGTACCCATTATATGTTAATGGAAATGTGTTCATATTCTCCAGCATTTTTACCCACTGTGTGCATATTATAAAAAAATATGATGCCTGACTATGAGTAGACACGGGAAAAATACCACTTTCTTGTGATTTTTAATATCTTCAGAAGGTATTGGACATGGATAGGACCCTCATTACCATGTTAACCACAATTATGTGACACCATCTATGGTATTTAGTGTTTCGATTGTCACATATTTTAAGCTCTGGGAAGATATTTCCTGCTGGGTGTTTCATTTGAAGCGTATGAGTACATTTTTTTTATCATTCTTAGTGCATAAATAGTTCAGTCTAGATGCTAGAGGCTTCAAAATAGTTAAATAACTTCCAGAAACCTTTTGCTTTCCTTCTTGGATGTATATAAAAAATCTGCTTTGCATGGGAGTGAGCACACCACATTTTTAGTGGGTTTTGGCAACATCAGTATGCTTGTACCTTGTGCACTGGTTTCTCTCTTCTTTGGTTCTTGTTTCGTTTATGGTGTACATAGTTCCGACTACATTCTAGAGATAAGTTTAGGTTTCTTGTTTCAGGTGTTTGACTTGTTTGACACCAAGCACAACGGAATATTGGGTTTTGAGGAGTTTGCACGGGCACTTTCTGTTTTTCATCCAAATGCGCCAATTGATGATAAAATTGAGTGTAAGCAAATAAGTGTTTTAATATTTTTTATTGCAAATTTTTAAGGATTATTATTCTGTTATATTTGATGGATGAGATTGATACTGGAGCATTTCTCAGGAATAGCACTATTTCGGTCCTTCTCGTTGCTTTTGCAATACCTGCCATGCACTTCTTGTTGGATGACCTTTTAACTCACACTTTAGATCGCATATTTAATTGCAATAGAGTGACATGCAGTACACTTTGAAGCTGAGGAATATGATCTTTTTTTTTTCTTCTCTTGGGACTATCTGAATGATTTATCTTCGTTATGTTGGTTGCTAATTGCGATTGCGCAACATAAGAATGCCTTTTTCCACTAATTGATAAAAGAACATCTGGTTTTGACAGTAAATTCCAAAGAAAATAGAACGTTGTAAAGAATTTCAGATACGTTCGAAATATAGAAAGGATGGCAAGATATAATTTTTCTCAATGATTTTGCACATGTTGAAGGGGGTTCAGCTCCCCTGTCTTGCATCTAACATGCACAAGGTCTCTAATCTTCTCTTGAATCAAATGATGGACTATCCTGGTCCTTGAGATTTTCGGCAAGCTACTGGATTTTTAGGAAGTACGTCTGGTTTAAGTACCAAGGCTTTCATGCAAGAATGTTACCAGATAAGTGGGATGGGGTAATCAACATTTGCAACTCTTAGTTAGCAATTGAGAAAAGCATCTTTTATGTATGTGTGGGAATGGGTAGCCATATATCTGGGTATCTGTCCATGTGCAAATGTGCATCTGTGCATGCATGTCATTGTCGTGATTGTGTGCGTGTGGAGAAAGATTGCCGGCTAGATTGGCCACATAATTAGGTATTCCAGCCCCCATATACAGAAGGGGGACATATATATATATATATATATATTATTTTTTTTAACTTAAAATTTCATCTTCTATTCACTAGTGATCAATTCAAAATTCCTTCAACCTCTTAAAACGCTCATGAAGGGAGGTTCAGAGTCAGTCTTTTGAGTGTAAGTTTTGATTAGAAGCATGTTTGACATCTAAAATCAAGCTTTATTTGGAATTCATCTTTGGGGTGACTAAATGTGATCTTAAATTAACAGATAGAGAAATTGCCCCCTATGTCTTTAGAGGGCTCTACTATGTATTGTAGGTGGTTGGGCCACTCTGAGGATGTATCAAAACCCTCATTAATGTACACACGTCAATGTTGAATCCTGTCACACAGTTTCATTGAGTGATTCATTCATTACTGAACTGAAAGGGGGTACTAAAAGATGTCCTTTCTTATGGATTTATTCTTGTGGACCTTATTAGGACTTCCTCTTTGTTTGTGTTCCTTCATCGTGTTATTATTGTTTCTTTCCCATCAATACATCTTAGACAAATAGATCACTAGAATTCTGTTGAATAACTTGATCAGTTGTGTTAGTTTTCTGAATGTCTTCTTCTAATTTGGTTGCTATTGGATGTACTTACCCTTTTTTTGTTTTTTGGTTGCTATTGGATATTGAAGAAATACTCTTATGGTTAAATGTTCCTGGTGTGCAGTTTCCTTTCAGTTGTATGATCTCAAACAGCAGGGATTCATTGAGCGACAAGAGGTATGTTTTGTTGTCCTTGCAACCATGGATTAACTCTGGCTTCCAGCCTTCATAGCAAATCATGGAAAGCTTCTCAGGTTTCATTATTGGTGATGTTTTTTTTTTTATTTGGTGCGCTTTTTTTTTTCTTTTTGGTATTTGAGATCTTTATATTTTATTTGTAATCCTTATTTGATTACCAAGCTACAAATCAGTTGATAGGCATCTCTAAGTAGTCAATTTTGATGGAATATTCTCTATCTAAATGCCACTGTCTAATTTAAACAGTTCAGGATGCCCTTTAATAAATGTAAGAATTCATTGGAAATTTACGTATAAAAGAAAAAAATGAAATCTAATTTGTGGGCAAAAAAGGGGTAAATTGGAATTCTGCAGTAACACCAAGTCCCTGTAGGCATCCTGATAATGGGAGGTAATTTCTGTGAATGTGTAGAGGGCTTCGCCATTTTCAGGAGTTTGTTTTCACTGTTTTTTGCATCACATATTAACACCTCTTTCCTTGGATTTTAATATGAAATACAAATGAAAATCCAACTCTTGAGTCATGGAACATATGGCAAGTGGAGACATCTTTTAACATTCGGGACATGGATATAGAATAAATGTCCATATCCTAGGCACACGTACACAAACATGCACACATGCGTATAAATGTATTTATACTGATGTCAAGAATGTGACTTCATGGTGGCTGACTTTTGCGTTCTCTGTTCTATTCCTAAGAAATGCAAGTCAAAAGATGTTCATGCATATTTGTGAAATTTTTTGATGTGTAGGTGAAGCAAATGGTAGTGGCTACACTTGCCGAGTCTGGCATGAATCTCTCAGATGATGTAATAGAAAGCATAATTGATAAGGTACTCACAGCACATGTTTCTTAGGATCTTTAATCGATCGTTTTCTTTTCACATCTTGACAGTTAAATATACTACCTAGGAATGAAAACCAACACATCGCATTGTGCCACCCTGATCGCCCAGCCCTCGGGCTCATTACTGAGTCTCTTTAACCCATCTTTACGGATTTTTCAGCATATATGATGGTTGTAAGGAATTAATTATTTCATTTTGCCTTTGTAGCATGTTGTGTTTTGTGATTTCTATTTCTACATGCAATATTCTGTATCATTCACTTGGAATCAGTTGCTGTTTGCTCTATAGTAACATATTTTTATGTATTTCTTTGATTTCCTTTGCTCTTATTTTTTCATTTTGGGCTTTCGTCCAGACATTTGAGGAGGCAGACACGAAACATGACGGGAAGATAGATAAGGAAGAGTGGAGGAGTCTTGTTTTACGACATCCCTCCCTCCTTAAGAATATGACCCTGCAATATCTCAAGTAATATATGGTCCTTAGTTCTCATTTTCCTTCTGTTCCTTCATTGACATAGTTATATAATCATGGTTTCTTTATGATATAGTCATAGTTACTTTATGTACTAGCCCGAGTCAGCCATTCAATGATTTCAAATTTTATAGAGATAGCTCTGTGTTATAAATGCCATGATATTGTGGAGAGCTAAATCTCTACCCTAGTCATACGCACATTCTCTCTCTCTCTCTCTCTCTGCAACATTCAACAAAATGTGTTCATAGACTTCTCACCAAGTGCCTTTTTTGTGCCTGCGACCAGGGACATCACAACTACCTTCCCGAGTTTTGTGTTTCACTCGCAAGTGGATGACACTTGAGTTCTCCGTATCTTCTCTTTTCTTTTTCCGTACGTCTTTCTTCTGGAAGCATTAGGAAAATCAGGGAGGATGTTTCTGATTTATTGTTTTTAGATTACATGGGTGATTTTAATTTACTAAAGTTCCTTTGGTGCCAACACAGATGGGTGTTTTATAGAGAACATGGTGTGGAGATTGTATCTTTAAGTACATATTTTTCTGCTTCTTAATATGGATTCCTCTGGATTGTCTTCCTTGATTGTTTTTCCGGGGGTGATAAAACTCCCCTTGGCCCTTTGAATGGTATGGTTTAGTTACCAGCATGTTCCTCGTCTCTCGAAAATGGTTAAACTCATTATTTTAAGTTTCACTTTTACTTGAAAAATTTTGAGGGTTGAGAAACCCTATATTTTCTTGAGACTTGTAAATTTGTCATGCGATCCTAGTGTTGCTCTGATTCGCAAGTTTTCTGTGGGTGAGGCCCCCATCTGAGGGTGAGTCTGGATAATTTTTGATAAGTAAAATTAGTAAATGGAAAAAGCAAGTGTGTATCAGGCGGTTTCAGGGTTTTTCAGCCCAATTGTCTCGCTCACCATCCTGTCCAACTTAGGATCCCTTTGTAAATGGGAAAAACAAGTGTGTGGCCCAATAGTCACCTCGCTCACCATCATCCTGTCCAACTCAGGATCCCGAGTCATGAATGTTTTGTTTTTTAATTGCTGTGCATTGCGTATGACTGTATTTGGAGGAAAATGCACTATAATACCTGTTATATCTGCATGGAGTGAGGTAGGACCCCTGATGTCTTCCTTTTTGGTTCACAGTATTGAATTTTCAGAAAATTGTTACGGTCATTGAACACGTACCGCATTGATTCTTACACTCGTAGAAATTGGAAGGAGCGTAACCATGGCGTGAGGTTTGTATAAAGTCGGCACCTTAAACAAAGTAAAGTGCACCTCATAAACCTTGCTAAAAGCTCTGGTTCAAGTGCCAGAATCCCTATTTTATCTCTTTCATATCCACGGATTAAAATAAGATAAAGTAATAAAAAGCTTCTCTCTACATATATCCTCATTTTTTCTCTTTCATATCCATCGGCTTTTAGATAGCCATGTTACGTTTTCCCTCTAATGTTTTCCCTCTTATGTTTCCCTCTCATTTTTTATGTTTTCCCTCTGATGTTTTCCCTCTTATGTTTCCCTCTCATGTTTTATGTTTCCCTCTCAAAGTTGATTATGGTCGATTAAGATGAACTCTCTTCTAAATTTACTTTTATTCTAATTATATCTCTCAAACTAACATATCTTAATTATATCTTTCAAATTAACCTATCTTAATTATATCCCTCAAACTAATCCAATCGATACGTAATAAACATTATATAAACTCTAAACTCTATATAAACTCTAAAGTCGCTCTTACCTCAAACAAACTTGATAAACACAATATAAACTTAATATAACTCACACAATAAACACTATATAAAATCTAAAGTCACTTTTACCTTCAAACTAACGTGATAAACACAAAATAAACTCAATATAAACTCTAAAGCTCAATATAAACTCTAAAGTCGCTCTTACCTTCAAACTAACCCAATAAACATAATATAAACTCTAAAGTCGCTCTTACTCTCAAACTAAAAATAACCCGATAAACACAATATAAACTGTAAAGTAGCTCTTACCTTCAAACTAACCCAATCGATGCAAGACAATTTTAATATCCTTCAAACTAACCCAATCGATACAAGATAAACACAATATAAACTCAATAAATCGCCGTACCCTTATCCTAATATCCCTCAAAGTAATCCGATACAAGATAACCGTTATCCTAATATCCCTCAAACTAACCAAGATAACCGTAATCCTAATATCCCTCAAACTAACCCAATCCCAATCGATAACCCTTATCCTAATATCTCTCAAACTAAAATATCCCTAATCCTTATCCTAATATCTCTCAAACTAAAATATCCCTAATCCTTATCCTAATATCTCTCAAACTAACCAAATCGATGCAAGATAATCTTAATATCCCTCAAACTAACCCAAGATACAAGATAAACCCAATATAAACTCTTATCATATTATCTCTCAAACTAACCCACTCATATCCTAATATCCTTCAAACTCAAACTAACCCAATCGATACAAGATAATCCTCATATCCCTCAACAAAAGAATAATTAAAATAATCCGCACTCTCTAAACAAAAGAATAATTAAAATAATCCTAATAAATAACCAAACAAAAGAATAATTACAATAATCTTAATAAATAATCAATTATCCCTGCGCACTCTTTCAACAAAAGATTAATTAAAATAATCCTAATAAATAACCAAACAAAAAAATAATTAAAATAATCCTAATAAACAACCAATTATCCCTGTGCACTCCCTCCCTAAACAAAAAAATAATTAAAATAATCCTAATAAATAACCAATTAACCTTACGCACTCCCTAAACAAAAGAATAATTAAAATAATCCTAATAAATAACCCTAATAACTTCCCCTTATTACGTCATTGTCCAGTCTTTCCCTCTTGGGCTCTGCGACCCTACTTCGGCCCAGTCGTGAAGGGGCATAGCTGCATCATTCCCCTCAGTTGTAAGGAACTCGACGGCGAGTTGGCTTTAGTATAAATGCGATATAAGTTTGGATCCACTCTTTTGAACTCTAGCTCAAAAATCCATGTGCTATCATGGAGTCGAGTTGGCTTTAATATATATGCGATATAAGTCCGGATCCACTCTTTTGAACTCTGGCTCAGAAATCCATGTGCTATCAGAGTATGACCTTCCCTTCCATTTGATTAGAAATTGACCGTAGGAACCCTTTCGAGTTTGAAAGCTTTCAGTCTTCAAAACTCAATTTCATCATCTTTCTTCCTTGGTAATTTCTCTATTATATTAACTACATCTTCTGCGACTTCTAGAGGGTCTCCATGAAACTCAAATAAGTCAGCAACATTAAATATCAGAGAGATATCCAGTGCCTTTGGTAATTCTACCTTATATGCATTGTTCTCATATTGCTTCAAGATGCGACAATGACTCACTTTTTTGGACTTGAGTTTATTATAGGTTCCCAACGGAAACCTTTCCCTTCGCAAATGTATCATTACTAAGTTACCTCCTTGAAAAACTTCTCTCTTTTATGCTCATTTGAGGCTTTTTGATACTTTGCATTGCTTTACTCAATTTTCTTCTTAATTTGGGTTTGCAAATCTCGAATATGCTCAGCAAAAGCATTAGCATCATCACTTATCTTGCCTGGCATGGGTAATGGCATTAGGTTCGACACATGATTAGGTGTCTGCCCATTAACAATCTTAAATGGTGATTTTCCTGTTGATCGATTTATTGAACTGTTATAAGCAAACTCAGCCTGAGGCAAAGCGAGGTCCCACTGAGATATGTTATCGCCAACAATACTCCTCAAGAGGTTACCAAGGCTCCTATTCACTACTTCGGTTTGCCCATATGTTTGAGGATGATATGCACTAGAAATTGAAGTTTGGTTCTCATGCGCTTCCATAAAGTGCGCCAAAAATGACTTAAAAATTTTGTATCCCGATCAGATATAATAGACTTAGGAACACCATGTAGCCTTATAATATCTTTGAAAAAGAGATTCACGATATGTGTAGCACCCATAGTTCTTCTACAAAGAATAAATGTGCCATTTTGAAAAATCGATCAACAACAATAAAAATAGAGTCCATACATCGTGTGGTACGTGGAAGTCCAAGTATAAAATCTATAGAAATATCAACCTATAGGGCATCTGGAATAGGAAGATGAGTATAAAGACCTATATTTTGTGTGTGACCTTTAGATACTTGGCAAATTCGACATCGGGTCACAAATCGATCAACATCTCGTCGCATACGTGGCCAAAAATATTTTCTCCAACCATAGCCATAGTTGTATCATTCCCAAAGTGTCCACCCAAGTCCCCACCATGAAGCTCCATGATTATCTTCTCCCTTAGGGAACAATCAGGTATATTAACCGCACACCTTTAAATAAACAACCATCATGCACGAGATACTCACCTATAGGGTCTCGTCCATCAACACACCGTTCAAGGACCTTACTGAAAATTAGATCAACTTTATATTGATCTTTTATCACTTTAAACCCCAACACTTCTATAGACAAAGTTCTAAGCAACACTACCCTTCTACTTAAAACAGCAGCTGCTATATTTTGGGTTCCAGTCTTGTGCTTTAATAAGAAAGTGTATTCTTGAAGGACGGCCATCCACATAGCATGTCGCGCATTCAACTTTTTTTGGGAACTCAAATACCGGAGTGCTTCATGATCTGAGTATAAAACAAACTCTCTATGAATCAGGTAGTACCTTCAATAGCGTAAGGCTTACACCACTGCATAAAACTCGATGTCAGAAATTGAATACTTCTTACGTGCATCATTCAATTTCTCACTAAAGAAGGCCAATGGTCGTCCCTCTTGACTTAGAACTGCCCCTATGCCAACATTTGATGCATTAGTTTCAATCTCAAACACCTTAAAAAAATCTGGTAAGGCAAGTACTGATGCTTACATTATCTTTTATTTAATTAGAGTGAGGCTCTTTTTCAGCAGCAGGATTCTATGAAAACTTTCCAGCCCTCATACAATCAGTTATCGGTGCTATTAGAGTGCTGAAATTTCTGATAAATTGAAGATAAAATGTCGCTAAGTCATGAAAAAAACGCACCTCAGTGAGTAACTTTGGCACCGGCCACTTAGTTATGGCTTTCACTTTTTCTTGATCCACCTTAATTCCCTCAAATAAAACAACATACGCCAGAAAGACAACATTGTTTGTCATAAATGAGTGTTTTTTCAAATTCACAATAAGTGATTCATTACTTAGCACATCAAAAACTTAGTTCCAAGTGGTTAAGATGATCACGTGGGTTAGCACTAAAAACCAAGATATCATCAAAATAAACCACTACAAATTTACCAATAAAAGGATGAAGTACCTCAGTCATTAGGTGCATGAATGTACTTGGTGCATTAGAAAGGCCGAATGGCATCACAAGCCACTCATATAGTCCATCTTGAGTTTTGAATGCGATCTTCCATTCATCTTCAGGTCGAATCCGAATTTGATGGTACCCACTCCTTAAATCAATCTTTGAGAAAACCTTGGCTCCATTAAGCATATCTAACATATCATGGGGCCTAGGTATGAGAAATCGGTACTTGATTGTGATTTTGTTGATTGCCCGA